CTCTCAAAATAACTTAGAGGAGAATTGAGGCAGCTCTAGATCATTTTTCAGATCTGGTATGAGGTGTACCATTTTACCAACAGAGCAAAGACAAAACTAATTCATTTGTGGACTTGTGTTACACTCAAGAACCACATTCCACATTTTATTAATTTACACAACAATACTAACTCATACTGGCTTGCATGGTTGTAATAAAGGGACAAAATTTGACCACCTCTGCCTTTTATTCTATTTACTTACTCTTTGCAATATTTTTCATATGGGTAGACTTCTGGTATACATTTGCTAATCCAAACAATACAAAAATTGCAGTACAGTATAGTATTTCCATCTTTTTCTGAGAATATGCAAGTAATAAAGAGTCCCAATTCCTTTATTAATACACCATTGATAACATTCTGTGCTATAAAAAGAATGGACTGTTGAAATACAGTTTACAGGTGTAAAGTTGGGTGGGTTGTTTTTTATTTTTGCTTAACATATCATTTGTTATGCAATCTATCTTTCTTCCTTTAAGAGTTTACAGAACCTTAATCTTTTTGAGCTGATTTTCTTTTTGTTCAGTTTGGTGCCAAAGAGAACATAAAGATTCCATATGAGATTACATCGCTAAAACCAAAAGGAAAATACTAGGAACAAATATAATATTAGTTTGTTTTACCTCTAATACTGGGCAGACTGTTTACACAAATCATTTTGCTGTAAAGTAACACATAATGAGTTAAATGTGTGCAATGTCACCATCAATCATGTTCATTTGTGTTTGACTGACCAAACATTTATGGCACATTAAATCACTTTCTAATCACGTTATAAAGGAGGAACAAACACACATTTCAAGCTTTCTTTAAAAAATACAGAAGTTTCAGTACATTTTCCTGACGATCTCTTAACTAGTGGGAGTCTCCACTAATAATGTTTGCCCAAGGAATTTATGAAGGTCTGACAGTACTTAAAATTCAGTACTCTAAATGAAAAGGAGTGGAAATTCTTTCAGGGAATGGACATCTTTCTTTTCAATAGAGTCCTCTAATAATTCCATTCAATGTAGCTGCTCTCCTAAAATACACTGTTGATTCACAGCCACCACTAAGTAATATTTTTCTCTTTCAAATACAGTTTTAAGAGTGAGACAACTTGGAGAAAGAACATCCTTTCAGCTAAGTAAAGAAACAAACCTTTTACTGTTGCCAATTGAGTTGGATTCTTGTGAAGAAATATGTCTCAGTTCTTGTACGCTTATTTTGCTTTAGATTGTAACATACGCAGAGATCTTTGGAAATGAGGATATGCATTTTACTTGCCTGGACAACTCATTCTTAGTTAAGTAGCAGACATCTTTTTAACAAGTACTAACAGAGTCTTGCATTCCCCCAATGCACTATTTGAGGGCATTTTTTCTCTCAGTGCCATCTGAAGACAATATCTGAAGTAACACAAGTTAAGGTATGTATGCATCCTATTCTTTTTCTAACTGTATATAATCACAGACACAAGAGCAAAACTGACATTGACAGCTCCCTCCAAATCAAAATCATTGCTATTTTTATGCTTATTCTGTGCATATAGAAATACTCAGATGTAATCTGAGTAGTGCCTTGCAAAGCTGAGCCTTCAGCTTAAAACTGTTCATCAGTGAGAGTCCAATCTGTCACTGTATTGAAATTATTATAAGAATATCTTATAAAATAAGAAAATATAGCATTGAAGGTAGGTAAGATAATGGCATAAGTGGTTAGATATATTTTCTGGAAAGATTATACCTTTACATTTGCAGTTTTTGACTTGTCTAAACGTTTTAACTACAAATCCAGACCATAAACGTGTCTCTTTCTAGTACAGTTCCCTCACAGTCAGATATCTGTACACTTTACCACATTCTGAATCTCTCAATTTTCTCACTGCCAATTTAAAATTCAGTATTAACATAACTTGCATTAAGACTGGGGCTTCTGAAGATACCCATATATTTGGATCTCCTAGAAATAACTGGGTTAAAATTTTGCTATGTAAGTTCAAAAGAGCTCTGACTGAGGAGAAGCAAATACACGAATGATGTTGTAGGAAGTTCAGGCTTCAGTTCCAACGCCTGTTCCTTATTTACTCTCAAAGAGGTCCACTAGCAACTTGATGTAAAAGACCAAAATGATCAGTCCTTTTTTCTGGGCACTTTGTTGCTATGTGGCACATACATAAATCATATTTTTGTTTTAGCAGCAGGGGTTTTTCTCATAGATAAACATGTGTTTTGTCTAAAACGAAGCAAAACACAGAACACCAGAAATATCTCCCTAGAAAAGGATGATGCTTTGAACAATCATTTAAAGGTGAAACACTTGCTGAATAAAAATAAAAACATAACTCGACAGAACCTGGCTCATTGCCCAATTTGCAGCAGAGAACTTTTGTATGTGAGTGTCCACTGGTTTTTTTGTCTTACAAAATCTATGAATGTGTTCCTATCTGTTTCATATTTGAGCCATGTTCTCTACTCAGCTCTCTGACAAACTGAATTGCGGACTAATACATTCTAATGAGACAAGGCATTACCTTTATGAATGACCTCATAGAGAAGAGGTTGGCTAACATTGTTGAAAGGCCCGGTGCCAGGCAGCTCTGGGCTATGAAACCCAGCTTGAGCTCAGCAAGACAGATTGCATCATCCCCTTCTTTCCAGTTCCAGCTTGGGATATTTAGCAGATGAGCCTGGAAAACAAACAAACAAACAAAAATCCCCACTGGTGAAGAACCAGAAATACTTCCTCAAATACAGTACAGTATTGAAGGAGGTAGCAATGAATGATTTTCTTTGTTACTGGCTTGACTTTTTCTGAGTAGGCAGAAGCACTCAAGCATTTTAGAGTTCCCAAGTCTATGCTAAGAAATGTTCCAGTCTTACCTGTTATAGACAAAATCTTACATTTCTCAAGCCATATTCTGGCTGTGACTCTCTGTCAGGCCCATCCTCACATCTGAACGAACCACAGAATGTTGTAAAGGTTTCCCTCCCTTCTGTGTATTTGTTTTACAGCACTTTGAGCTACTCTCTTACTGATAAGGCACATACATAATACTCAGGAATCTAATATAATTTAGATTACAACTTGTGTGAAGCTGAACCTTTATAAGACATTGTCATTTAATAAGGTATACAACATCTTCTGTCTTTTCTCTTTCCTCTTTCATTCCTTCCACCCTGAAGGATAGCACTTGACTTAGTGAAAATCCAAACTTCCTAAGACTGCTAATTATAAGGATAGAATAAAGAAAACAGCTGATCAAGACAGACCTCCAGTATTGACACTTGTCTGTTAGATAGGTATTAATATTGTTCAGTTATTGGCATAACTCTATCTTCCACCTGCCTTATAGAAATGCATAGACATAAGGAAACACAGAGGCCTTCATGCTTGTTTCCCTTCATAAGTTAACATTACAGTTCAGCACTTTGATAAAAGTGCTTTGATAAAAGCTATTCTTGAAGACACATTCATTGGAAATACAAAGGAAAAATGCAGTATTTAAAAGATTTTCCCCTCTGAACCTATTTAAAGCAGAGAAACACCTTTTATTCTATAAAAAGACAGGCTCCTTCCATTCACATGCAGGAAGAGGACATCACAACAGTAACAGCAACAGTAATTCCTCCTGTTCTAGCCAAAGGTTACAGGTGTAAGGAGTTGTTAGCAGTCAAACCTTCTGAGTACCAGGATTATTGTATTTCATTGAATGAAGGTCTACCCAGCCAAGCTTTTTCTCCAGCACTGAGCAGTGGTTGATGCTTTTAGAAATAATGAAAGAAGCAGGTCACATACGAGTAGTCTGTCCTCTGACATATTCTTCCCAGCCCTGTTAATCAGCAGTTTATAGACTTCCTCATTTCAGGATTGGATGAATTGGTCCTGTTTGACCAACCTGATCTCCTTCTATGACCAGGTGACCCGCCTAGTGGATGAGGGAAAGGCTGTGGATGTGGTCTACCTGGACTTCAGCAAAGCCTTTGACACTGTCTCCCACAGCATTCTCCTAGAGAAGCTGGCGGCTCACGGCTTAGACAGGTACACTCTTCGCTGGGTAAAAAACTGGCTGGATGGCCAAGCCCAGAGAGCTGTGGTGAATGGAGTTAAATCCAGTTGGCGGCCGGTCACGAGCGGTGTTCCCCAGGGCTCAGTTTTAGGGGCCGGTCTTGTTCAATATCTTTATCAATGATCTGGATGAGGGGATCGAGTGCTCCCTCAGTAAGTTTGCAGACAACACCAAGTTGGGCGGG